TTTAGCTAGTTGTCACCCTCTGTGGTGTGTGCTAAATAATTCCTGGGTGGCTGGATGTTTGTCTGCTGCATTTGAGATGGAGCTTGAATTTTAAATGAGGTAGATTGTAATCTGAATTTCTGTCTGGACCTTGTGGTGGTGTTCTTGGAGGAGAACTCTAGTTTTCTCCCATTTCTGCACAATGATACAAACAGCCGGCTGATCAGACGAGGTACAGTTCTGTTTTCCCATCTTGTGGTGGTGAAACAAAGCATTTGGAAGGATAAAACGAGATTGTCAAAGCAGAGCTCAATGAGTTGCTGTCCTCGTTTGTTGGTCTCACTCACTCCCGTCATGGCACTGATCAGTAGCAACTTTCCCCCGTTCTAAGCTGAAATCCCGTGTTCTCAGTCTTGTGTTTGTCTATTGAGCACTTCAGGTTCACCAGCCTGGGATACCTTTTTTGCAGGGCATATAAGACCAAATCCTGTTTGCTTTCGAATGACAACGCTTTCGAATTGCCCTGTTTAATTTCATTCTTTATGTAGGCACTGATTTTTAAGTGTATTACATCTGGGTATAGGTTTCTTCTGGATATTACCTGTGTAGGATGAAATTGTAAATTATCCAGACTGTCTACAAATCTGCATAAAACAAAAAAAAAAAAGAGAGAGAAAAAGTATCATTTCTAGGGCTTTTATTGCTATAGGAAGAACATTCAAAATCTTTGTACCTAACTTATAATTCGATTTCATATTTTCTGTGGAATTATTTCTTTATTTCTGGATTGTCACACAGACTCTGCTTTTCTTTAAATTATAGTGGTTCTTGTTGACATTGGCCTTTCTTACTAGTGAGGAGTGGGCTTATCAGCAGTAAGTTAACCTGCTCTGAATTCACTTCTACGTCTACCAGTCTGTAATTACTGAAAAAATTTCTCTTTTCTTTTATTTTTCCTCCTCTTTTCCCCTTGGCTAGTTCAGTGTTTTCAACCATTTTCCTTATTTTCAAAGGGTTACGCCCGAGGGATTAAGATCTACATTCGTTTAATATCAGGAATAAAGTGGAAGTTCCAGACTGCAAGGCTGAAACTTGAAGAAGGATCTTTGTAGAGATTAATATTTACTTGAGCAATCTGCGAGCTGAATCATGGTCTAATTAAATAGCACAGATTTTGCATTTAAACATTAGCACACCCTAAAATGGGTAAAGCTGAAATGAGTTTGAATCTTTTTTGTACATGGGAAGTAATCTTAGTGATTTTATTAAACCATTTTTAAATCTTTTGAGCTAAACTGCCATTTTAAAAGAACAATTTGAAGTCTTAATCACTGTTTGGAAGTGCCCCTCTCTTTGCTGTTCTTTCTCACCTCATTTGCTGTTTCAAAATCTGTTTCCCGAGGCTCAGCTTCCTAAGCTGCTCCATGAACCACTGTTTGGCAGCGGAGCGCTTGCGTTAGGCCAGCGGAGAGCTGGCTGGTCACGTTCTTCCCAGCTGCTAAATTGATTTCAAAGACAGCAACAAATACATTAAATACTTTACTACTATTACTTTTCCGTGTAAGCAATTGCTCTGTTTAGCAGAGGGATGGTATAGGATCACCCCTGCAAGGAGAGGAGAAGATCCCTTGTTTTCAGATGTTGTCCGGAGTGGAAGAGTTCGAGAGCGTGGAGTGTAACAGCTGTATCAGAGGGCAGGTTTTGATTCACCTTCCGTTCTTGCCTTTTCTGGGGGTGTTCTCTTCCTCTTTTCCCTCCTCACTCAGTTTCTGCGTAAGAAATATGTAGGGCATAGATATTCCTAATGCTGCAGGCCAAATTGCTATCCAGACTGCAGAGCTAAAGATCTCGGGGGAAAAATACATTAGTCTGAACTCCATCCATCTATTTGCAAACTCAGACATGGTTGCAGTTACAAATACTGAGTCTGGGAAGAATCAGACCAGTTTTGTACAGGGTTGAGAACTAAATTTTTATGGTCAGGTTCTCCAGAAAAGCCTGTCTCTCTATGCAGTATGGTGTAGAATAAAATGCACAAGAACAGTCAGTCGTCGACTCGCCGAGCACTTTGTTGCTGATAAAATGCTCCGATTTGGTTCCCCAGCAAATCTGGTCCTTGCACTGTGTGTCTGATGAGAGAAGGAAAAGATGTGTAATTTCTGCACAAACTGTGCATGGTTCATGGAAAAAAATATTTAGAGTGGCACATCGTGTGTTGTGTAGCGCAACAGTGAATATCCAAGGACTTGGTAAGGCGTCAGGGAGTAAACACAACAATTTGTTTGGAGTTTGCATTTCAAATTAAGGCTGCTCGCTGGACACTGTGCTTAAGACATCAGTCACGTTTGTATGTGTGTGTTAGCGTGTCTGTACCAATTGCATCTGTTGTAGGACACAGAATTCAGGGATTTTCTCTTATTGACACAGAATTATTTAATAGAATTGCTGTATTAGAAAACTATCAAAAATGTATGGATTTGGGGAACAGTCTCACGTTAATTAGAACTAAATTGTGCTAGAGGTAATATTTCCCTGTCTTTTTTAAAATGTTGTAGCCTTCTTTTTCCCTAAGAGAGATATTTTTGCGTTTCTCTGCTTTCAGCACAGTGCACCTTGATGTGCAGTATCACATCCCTGCAGCGTCTATCTTAACTGCATGCTTCTTAGAGCATGTACTCGCTAAGACTCCGAATTATTAAACGTGTAAAATTCCCATAGGACTCCATTATGTGTAATTAACAGATAAACTGTCATCAGAATCAATAAAACGTGCTAAATGATCCAAACTTGTATATAATTAAGTGTCTGTTTTAGAGCAGGAGCTGTAACTTTTATTTTTTTTTCTTTTCAATTTGCACATTTGTTTTGACAATAGAAGCTGGAACATTTTTGTTAACCTGTTACTTACTGGTTTGTGTTTTAGTTTGCACGTCTGTGTTTGAAAAGAGAGAGGTATTTACTGTCTGGCCTAATTACCCGAGGAAATAGTTGCAAGTCAGCTTTTAGGAAATGAATCTTAGATGCATCTTAATTCTCTGCCTGTAATTCAGATATTTGAAGCACGTGCAAAATTCGATGTTGTTATAATCAACAGGGTAAGACAGGAGTCTCTGTCAGAATACTGATCCAGGGCATCGTGCTGCTTAATACAGGGCTTGGAAACGATGACAGAAGTGGGTTCTTCACCGTCCAACTTCTTAGACATTATTCTGTCTGGGAACAGGAGCTTTATTCCAAAACCAAAAATTAAGATGCAAAGCAGCGTTGTACTAACTAGAGTACTTAAGGATACATTTTAATAACACCATGTTTCCCCCAGTTCAAGAAAGATGAGGAGCTACTGGAGGGAGTCCAGCGGAGGGCTACAAGGATGGTGAGGGGACTGGAGCATCTCTCCTATGAGGAGAGGCTGAGGGAGCTGGGCTTGTTCAGCCTGAAGAAGAGAAGGCTGCGAGGGGACCTTATAAATGCCTACAAATATCTGAAGGGTGGGTGTCAGGAGGATGGGGCCAAGCTCTTTTCAGTGGTGCCCAGTGACAGGACAAGGGGTAATGGGCACAAACTGAGGCACAGGAAGTTCCGTCTGAACATGAGGAGGAACTTCTTCCCTCTGAGGGTGACGGAGCACTGGAACAGGCTGCCCAGGGAGGCTGTGGAGTCTGCTTCTCTGGAGATATTCAAGACCCGCCTGGACAAGGTCCTGTGCAGCCTGCTGTAGGTGACCCTGCTTTGGCAGGAGGGTTGGACTAGATGACCCACAGAGGTCCCTTCCAACCCCTACCATTCTGTGATTCTGTGATTCTATGTTTCGGTTTCACCCTGAGCTACGCTTGCACAGTGTAGCGTATTCCTAGGACTTGTACCTCCTCGCAGCAGTTGTATTTTCACACGGTGTTTTACTGGCTCTCTAAGTCTGTGGACCATCCAAATTTCAGTAGCTGATAGAGGCTGTTTGGTGGCCTCTTTCACCTCTGACTGTTCTTCCTTACTTGCATGCACCTCGCTTTGGACATCAGGGGTTTTTTGGCATTTATGACTACATAAAATTCAGAGAATTAGGGCTGCTCGTCCGAAGTCATCTCAGCATGGTCCAGTAACTGCATGTTCTCAGGGACATCGTCCCTTTCTGTATCTATGCTGTTGAGGGTTTTACAGTTATTTCAGTTAGATCTTTTCTTTTTATTTCACACTTCCATTGCTTTTAATCTTTCCAGGTCATGTAGCAGTTTAGTTTAGTTCCTGGTGTGCGTTGCATCTAGCCTTGTCACTCAATGCTTACACCTCCAAAACATCTCACCTGGAAAGGTACAGGGCGAGGTGCTTGCTTTGGGTGATTCAGAAAAAGTGCAAAACCCCAACAATAACAAAATAAACCGCCCTCTGAGTGGGTTAGAGAGAAGGATTACACCTTGTAGGAGGTGTTAGCTTCACAGTGAAAAAGCCGTTTAGGAACATACTAAGTGTTGCCTGTCTGTCTGAATGTGTCTGAGAGAGAAAAAATTTGGTAAACCCATCAGGAAATCCCATCAAGCCCGCTTTGCCCTGGTGTCAGTGCAGTGGTCCTAACCCCGCGATTAGCGTCTCTGAGCAGTGGGCAATGACCGTGGCTTCCAGATCCACAGCCTTGGAGCCTGACACAGAATTTTGCCAAGCTTTTCCGTAGCAGGGCAGACATTCTTGCTTCCTTGATAAAACGCAGGCCTGGATTCATACAGCCCTTTGGCACTATCATTCCCTCAGAGCGATGGTAAGAGACGATTTATGGAGCAGCGAGGGTGACTGTTTTACTCGTTTGAGGAGGTTGAGGAGAAGGATTACTTACACAGGAGTTAATTATACATTTGTAGTTCCACAGCAGTTCCAGATACTTTCCTGAAGGTCAATATAGAAATTAGTGGGTAATTATCTTCCTTCTTTGTGAAAGAGGATGGAGAGAACCAGTGAAAGTGTTGCGCAGCCATAGCGTTATCTGACTTTTGGCACAGCAAACTGAAACCTCCTGTTCATCTTCTGTTTTGCAGACTCAATGCACATAGAGGATGTTGAGGCAGTGCAGAAACTTCAGGACGTCTTACATGAGGCTCTGCAAGATTACGAGGCTGGGCAGCACATGGAAGACCCACGTCGCGCAGGCAAGATGTTGATGACTCTCCCGCTTCTGAGGCAAACCTCCACCAAGGCCGTGCAGCATTTCTACAACATCAAACTGGAAGGCAAAGTCCCCATGCACAAACTTTTTTTGGAAATGCTGGAGGCCAAGGTCTGACTAAAGCATCATGGGCTTCCCCATCATGCACGTTTTAAAAAAAAAAAAAAAAAAAAAAAAAAGGGAAATAAACAGGATAATAATGGCAAAGAAACTTAGTGTTTAATTAAGGAAAAAATGACTGCACTGATATTTAGCAGCAAGACTGTGAAGCAGCTTTCAACTTTTTCTTCTGTGTCTTTCTGATGCAGTTTTTCTTTTCTTTTTCCTTTTCTCTCTTTTCCTTTCAGTTCTCTCCTTTCCTTTTTCCTTTTCTCTTTTTTCTTTGCTGCTGAACTTTTTAAAAGAGGTCTCTAATTGAAGAGAGATGGAAGCCAGGCCTGCCAAAGGATGGAAATCCATAATATGGATGCCAGTGAACTTATTATGAACCATAATGTCCCCAATGACAAAGGAATCAAAGAGAGAACCACCGTACCTAGCAGTACAGTACAACACGATGAACTGACTGAATGCAGTATTAGATTTCATAGGAGCAGTCTCTAATTAGACGACTAAGCGACGATGCATCGGCTGCTTCTTACCATTGCATTTTCCATCTAGATCAGTTACAGCCATTTGATTCCTTAATTGTTTTTTCAAGTCTTCCAGATATTTCTTAGGTTAGCTACAATGTAACTTTTTCAGGGAATAGTTTAAGCTTTATTCATTCATGCAATACTAAAGAGAAAGAAATACTGCATTTTTGTGCTGGCTTGAACAATGATGAACAATAATGAAGGACAAATGAATCCTGAAGGAAGATTTTTTTAAATGTTTTGTTTCTTCTTACTAACGGAGATTTTTTTGTACCAGCTTTACCAGTTTTCAGCCATTTATTAATGTGGGAATTTATCTTACTAAAGCAATAGTCGAAGGGAAGGTGCATATTATCACGGATGCAATTTATGTTGTGTGCCAGTCTGGTCCAAAACATCCAGTTTCTTGACATGAGCTCCAGTTTATAACTAAATGTTCACTGACTCAAAGGATTAGATTACACCTGCAGTATATCCGAGTAGTCTAACATACAAATACTCCATGTCAAATACCAATCTGTAACGGTGTTCGGAGGCAGCGACTGTACGAAGGTATAGTTGCTACGTGATTTCTAACTGCTTCAGTTGCAAATGAACGAGATGCTGCCTGTTTGCAAAATCGCAACCTCACACGCAGAAAAACCCTACGAACCAATAGTAGCTTAGAGGCAATAAGGCAAACACCGACGTTTGCAAAATGAAGAAATCAGAGCAGTAGACTTCTGACCAAATTGAAGAATTTACCACTTCTATACCTTATTTATTGATCTAGATTTTGTTTTGTAAATGGCAATCGTTGACAAGTAGCTAAACCAGTATATGTGCTTTTCAACCAGTATTGTCACAGCATGGAAGTCAGTCAGTTTCAAGACTGTTACGAGGTGTAATCTAATGTATAAACCGATTAGATGCCCCCAGAAAACTACAGTCGCTAAATAACCAATAAACAATAACCTCCATCAAATGCTATACCAATGTACCAGTGTTAGTAGCTGCTCCCTGTACTATGTGAACATCCTTATTCTATGTACACAGATGTAATTAAAATTGTAATCCTAACAAACAAAAGAAATGTAGTTCAGCTTTTCAATGTTTCATGTTTGCTGTGCTTTTCTGAATTTTTATGTTGCATTCAAAGACTGTCGTCTTGTTCTTCTTGTGGTGTTTGGATTCTTGTGGTGTGTGCTTATAGACACAGGGTAGAATTAGAGACAATATTGGATGTACAATTCCTCAGGAGATTACAGTAGTATATTCTATTCCTTACCGGTAATAAGGTTCTTCCTAGTAATAATTAAGAGATGGAAACTCCAAACAAATACTCGTTATGAACAGATACACACTGAAATCATAATATTTTCAAAACAAGGGATAATTTCTGTAACAGTTTATTATAGAATACCAATGTATAGCTTAGAAATAAAACTTTGAATATTTCAAGATTATAGATAAGTCTAATTTTTAAATGCTGTAAATATAGCTTTTATCCAATCATCTCTCAGATGTTGTTATTAACTCGCTCTGTGTTGTTGCAAAACTTTTTTGGTGCGGACAAGTTTCCAAAACTATTGCTACGTTGTGTGCTTTAAACAAAATAACAGTGAGCCGATGCTCCATCGGCCCCGTGCTAGGAAAAAAAAAAAAACAAACCTGTGTATCTATCATTAGCTATATGGGACTATATTGTAGGTTGTGTTTTCTCAGTAGAGAAGTGACTGTAGTGTGATTCTAGGTAAATCATCATTAGCAATTCATTCAGATGGTCAATAACTTGAAATTTATAGCTGTGATAGGAGTTCAGAAATTGGCACATCCCTTTTGAAAAATGTCAAAAAAAAAAAAACAACTCCTGAAAAAAAGGTGCTGATTCTATAAGATTATTTATATATGTAAGAGTGCAAAAAAAAGTTTATTTTCCAGAAAGTTTGTGCAGGGTTTAAGTTGCTACTGTTCAAGTACACTATATATATATAAATATATAATATAAATATTGTTTTTGCTGTATCACATTAAAGAACTTGGGCTTCAGGGTCAAAAGCCAATCGACTAGAAGTATACAAAAACACACAAGAAATGGAGATGTGTTAAAGGCACACGGTGCAAACTTTAGTTTTCCTTTTCCGTAATTTTTTGGAGCTGCAAAAGAACAAGTATCTCAAGACTGTGAGAGCATTACCTGAAACAGAGCGAAAAGAACTGCACGGGCTTTAGAATGTTGTTCATCTTAAACCTTGCTGGAGAAGAGTTCTTTCAAGACCACTTGATTAAGATTACTTAATGTGAAGTGTTGGGAAAATTTCAAAGGGTGTATGTTTTAGCCATAACGATTTAATTTCTATTTTTGCTTCATTTTTTAATTTTTTTCTTATTTAAAGCAATATGATTGTGTAACTCCCAGAAGTTACACATTTGTTTCAATCAGATCAGATTGTTGTATTTATTCCACTATTTTGCATTTAAATGATAACATAAAAAGATATAAAAAATTAAAACTGCTATTTTTCTTATAGAAGAGAAAATGGGTGTTGGTGATTGTATTTTAATTATTTAAGCGTCTCTGTTTACCTGCCTAGGAAAACATTTTATGGCAGTCTTATCGTGCAAAGATCGCAAAAGGACAAAAAAAATTAACCTGCTTATAATAATCCAGGAGTTGCATAATAGCCAGTAGTTAAAAAATGAAACAACAAATAAAAACAAACATGTCTATAGCTGTAGATGGGCTTCACATCTGTATAGCAATCAACTGTATATTTTTGTGATGTGTATCATACCGTGTGCTCCAACCAATGTCCATTTGTGTAAATGTATTTATTTTATATTGTATATATTGTTAAATGCAAAAAGGAGATATGATTCTGTAACTCCAATCAGTTCAGATGTGTAACTCAAATTATTATGCCTTTCAGGATGATGGTAGAGCAATATTAAACAAGCTTCCACTTTTGATTGCTTTTATTTTATTTTTTGTGTTGTGGGGTTTTTTTGGTTTTATTTTCTTTTTCAGAGAAGGAAACAGAGCAATCGGCATTACCTTTTGTTACTTCCATTCAGGGAGGAGCCAGCGTTATCCCTTCTCCCTGAAAGTACAATACGAGTGTAAATAAATGCTATATAAAGCCTTGTCAGAATGAATTCCAGTGTGGTACGAGACATTTTGCATACTCTTAAATATGCAAAATGTCTCATAGCACATTAGAATTCAGGCTGACAGGCCTTTATATAGCTCTTATTTAATCTTAAAGCATCTTCACATCAACCTGCATTACTCAAAATCATTGCCTCTCCGTCAATGTCATAAAAGGAAACTTTCCCACTATTTTAAGATCATTTTAGTACCATCTAGAAGTACTTATTTGCTTTCTCCATCAACAGCCGTGTCCATCATTCATTTCCTGCTGCAGGAGACTCCTTTTATGTGTTCTGGGTTAAACAAATAAACAAATCTGTATTATTTGATCCAGCTTTTCTGAATGGAAGTAAATGGCCACCGGAGCAATAAGGTAGATTGGTGTTAACGAAGAGCACTGATAAGGCGTCAAGAAGCAGGGGGGCCGAGCAGCCTGGCTGCTTCAGACCCGGCGGGCAGCGGCCTCCCGCAGCCTTGAGCCCCCGCAAGGGCGCAGCCCTGTCGCTCGCTCGCTCGCTCCCTCGGGGTCGGCCCCGCTTTCCTGCGGACCCTTCTGGAGCCGTCTCAGAAGTGCCAACGTGTGCTTTTCTGGCTTTTTAGCCTGCCTTGGTAGTATTTTGTTGTCGTGTTTGCCACCGTGTTTCTCACCTTCGCTACTGGGCGTTCTCTGGAGGTGCTGGCTGAGGGCGCAGAGGCTCCTGAGGGGAGCGGTGATGCTCGGGGCCGGGAGGTGCTGCGCGGTAGCAATGTGCCGGTGAAGGGGAGGGCACCTCTTCCCTGCCAGCAGCACCTTCTGTGTTTTAACTGTCCTAGGAAACGGGGCGGGAGGGGGGTGAGTAAAAGGAGCGGCAGAGCAGTAGGAAGATGGGTCCTGCGCCGGCTCTGCAGAAGGAGCTCGGGGTTGGTTTGTAGCGTTGGCACCGCCGCGTGCGCAGGCGTGCAGGCGCTCCGGCACAGAACTGGCTTTCCCCCCTTTTTCAGCGTTCTGGTTTTCCGTTATTGCAAAGCACCTCTGCCGAGGAAAGCAGAATGCTGCGCCATCACTTCAAAGTGAAAAACGTAGCGTTAGAGATTTTCACACACAAAGGGGAAAAAGAAATGTCAACAGTAGTGCTCCGAGTCTTCCTCAACACGTGGTTGTCTCTAATCATTGGGTAAAGTTTTCACACACAATTAAAAAAATCATAACTAATATTTCTGTACCATTTTTCATGAGGGGATCACGAAGCACCATGCAATGAAATTTAGCGTCGCAGAAGAGAAAATCCAGGGAGCTGCTTCTAGGGATGCAACTCTGCAGAGTTGGTTTGGTTTGTGTCTCCTCCCTACGCTGTCTCCGCAGTGAGGCCAGG